AAACCACTGGATGCCTCATTTTTAAGTGAGTATAAAGATAAGTACAAGGGCCAGGGATTTAGCTCAGTGGTTCCACCGCCTGCCTCGCAAGCCAAGATCCTGATTTCGACCTCCGGTACCAAAAACAAACAGAACAAAAGCAAGTATAAAATGAAATCATTCTTAATTCAGGTATGTGCCAGGGTTCCAAAAGTTAGGTAACGCACAGCACTTACTGACAAGCTAGACAAGATGAGACATTGGAATTGAAAGGTGCCCTAAGAATCATATGCCTAAAACAGCTGAATGGCAAGAAGATGCTTTATCCCACCAAGACACAGCCATCACGGATTGGCACTGAAGGTCACACACCGACCCTGTGGTTACTGTAAACAAGAAATAACTGAAGAGGTGTCACAAAAATAGGAAACTGAAAATACACTTTAACAGCAATTCACACTGGGGGGATACAATGTATCCCACGAAATACAGTTTTCATGACAATGTACTACCTGTGCTTTGCTAACAATATTTCCCAAACTATTGGCAACTCTAGAGTGTTGGATTTCATTTCCTACTGCTGACTTTTAGGGGAAACAATCATAATTGGCTGATCATGACATAGTACCAGTTGTGACAATTCAAACAAGTGAGTTGACAAATTCCCAAAATAGCTAATTGAAATTATTTGTCAAAACACAGGCCCACACAGAAATAGCCTGAATATGCAATTTATGAATTACAAATTTTCTCTTGGCCAGGATAGGTAGTGGAAGTGAAGTGGGCCTAAGAATTGTATTATCCTCTAAAACCTCCATTGATTTCCTAAAACATCTAACCTGGTTGTAAGTGATAAACCTAACATTATGCCAAGCAAAAGCACAAATGCCAACATAAACATTTATTTACAACCCCGAGGTTGATATGAAACTAGCCTGAACCCCACTGACACCAACACTAGCGCTAACCCTGCCATTCACCCTAACCCAACCCTGGTTCCCTCTGGGCTGCCTGCTCCGCCCCAGCCTCCCTGTTCCTCCTGGCCTTAGCCACAAGTCCAGACCCCTCCTTGCCTGAGATGCCCCCTCCTTGCCGAGAGATACCTAGGACAGCTTGGCAGGAAGGGGAAGCTGGGGATTGGTGAGGTTGGCGGTTGCTCACACACCAATCCACCCAGAGACCAAGTCCTGCACAGGGCTGAGGCCCGGGAAGGAGGCTCCTCACCCACTGAGGAGAGTTACTGTCTGCAGGACTGAGCTGTCCAGAGGGCAGGAAGATTTTAAGGTCTGGCAGCAGCAGATCCTGGTTGCAGAAGAAGAAATAGACCGCAGGGGCACCTCGGGAGAGGGCACCCTGGGCCCACTCACTGGACAGCACCTCCCTCCACAGCTCACTCAAAGACCTATGGCCCCCGGGGCATGCTGGGCATGGCTGCCTCTCTGCCTCTGCAGTGCCAGGGCCTGCTTGGCTGGGGCTATACTCTAGCTCACCATGGAGAGGGAATGAATGTCAGCAACTTCAGAGAGAAACAGCCACTGCCCTGGGTCTCAACGCAGGAGACAGGGGGTCCTGTCACACTTTTGGCAACTTAGGAGGTTGGGGACTCTTCCAACTCTAGAACACTCCACTCAATGCCATGGCCCATGGCCACCAGGCAAAATCCATGCCTTGTCCCACTGCCATGCATTGGTGACAGGGGATCAAACCTGTGTTCTTGTGCTTGCAAGGCAGGCAGCAGCAACACTGAGGTAAATCCCTGGCCCTTTCTTTTATTTAAATTAGATTGCAGTTTGTTCCCAAGGAATCCAGTGTACAGCTGTCCTCACCCGAGCTGTAATTCAATTTCACCTTACCCATAGAATTTTGAAGTGAGTAGCATATTTGATTTCCACAATTTTAGATATAATACAGATTCTGCCAGTGTAATACTTTATGACTGTGTCACCTCCTGCCCCCTTACCGGCAATAGGACTTAGGACCTTGCACCTTGCAGGCACTTTGATGCTCTGAGCTACGTCTTTGGCCCCTACTTTGTGATTTTGAATCAGAGCAAAATGAAATTGTAGGAGTGCTGGCTCCTCCACCTAGCCAACCTAGTCAAAGCACCAGAGGTACAAGGGGATCTAGATTCTGTCCAGGGCCAGGCTCTTAACATGCAGTCACCTTCCACTCACCACCTAGGGGTTCACTGCAGGCCAGAGCACTTGGCAGCCTGCCTGCCACCCCAACAGTCACTGTCAGCCTGACATGACCCCGAGGGCAGCTACCCCAGCCTGAGGACAGAGTGTGCACTGAGACCCTGTAGGGTATTGAGCATGAGCCCCTCTAGGCTTTCCATCCCACCTGGGACACAGAGACCAAGCGGCACCATGGCCCTGGAGTCAGCCACTGAGCATCCAGGGCACTGCAGTCTTCCTCTCAGCTCCGAGGAAGCAGAGGCCAGCAGAATGTCCACCAGCATCCTCACCACTTCAGCCTGGTTTTCTCTGCCCTCTTTCTCACTGGATAGAGGGACTGCAGGAGTCCAGCTCACCATCTGCCACTAGGAAGGTGATGGCAGCAACTGCTAACTCCACAGAACTGCAGCCAGAGGTCGCAGAATCTTCCATGTGGCCACCAAACCCAAAAGTATTGGTGGGCACCTCCAACTATATACCCCAAATTCTTAGCCCTAAAAGCCCACACCCAGGACTACAGTACCCAAAAGATTCTGTGTGCTCCAACCACAGAACTACACTACCCAGAAGTCTTGGTGTGACCCCTGTAGACTACATTACCCAGATTATGCATTCCCAACCACAGAACTACCATACCCAGAAGCCTTAGTCCACTCCCACCCCACCCTATTGTGATACCCAGAATCCTTCATGGGCTGCTCCCTTCCAGGACTACAGTACCCAGAAGACTCTGCGTGCCTCAACCACAGAACCACAGGACCCAGAAACTTCAGCATGTCTCCCATTTTGGCTCAGAATATCCTCCATGGGACAACTCTTTCCCCAAGATTAGGGTACCAGGAAGGCTCTCTGTGCCCCCAACCACAAAGACCAAGATACCCCAAAGCCTCTGCATGTACACACCTGTCCTACAGTAACCCTAAGTTTCCATGTGCCACAACCCTTCCAAGGTGACCAGAACAGTCCACCTGGCCAAAGGACTGCAGTACCCAGAAGCTTCAGGGTCCACCATAACCACAAGCTCTGCAAGGACTGGTCTCCAAGGACTCTGCTACCCAGAAACCTCAGTGTAACCCTTACAAGTACTAAAATACCCAGAAGCCTGAGCCTGACCATGTTGAAATACCATACCCACAACCTCTGCAGGCCCCCTCTTGGAAAAAGGTACCCTGAATCCTGGACAGGCTCCCTCATGAACTAATGTACCCAGATTCCTAAGTGAGACATGCTCCAGGAATATGGTACTCAAAATCCTTGGCCTATTTTCAGTCCCCCCAAGTAGAATACAATATCCTGAATATTCAGTGTGCCCTCATGAGATTCCAGTGTCCCGAACCTTTGGTATAGTGTGCCCCCTAGCAGGACTACAATACCCAGAATTCATGGTGCAGCCCAGAACTAAAGTAAACAGGGTCATCAACCAGTGCCAGCAGATTCATTGCCCAGGGCCTAGGAAAGGTTATTCACTCCTGTTTATAGTATGCCTGTGAGATATGCTAGGGAGTCTAAACTCCCTTGATCCAGTGGGATGATCCTATTGTAGACTCCGATTTTGATATTTTTGGGAGCGTTACAGATACATTGAGACATTCGCCATTTCTGTGCTACAGGTAAATATTTTGCTAGTGTCTCTTTGGACTTTAGCCTTAACTATTGTTGCTATGCAAAACTTAATTTTCAGCCTAGTGTGGTGGCCCATGCCTGCAGTCCCAGTCTTGGGAACCTGAGACGGGGATTAACGTGAGTTTGAGGCCAGCATGGGCTATGTAGTGAGTTTGAGATCAGCCTGAACTATATACACCAAGACCCTGACTCAAAAAACAAACAAAACAAAAAAGTTTTCAATTTCTAAAAAAAATTAATATTGTTTTCTAAAGGTGAATAATTATAGTGCTTTAATACATTGTTCCTTTTAGAAATCATTCCAATTTTAGTGGCATGTTCAAGGAGCTAAGCCAAAGGCAACAGTATTTGCAAAGCCTGAGGCATGGAGCAGAGATCCCGAGGAGATAGGGCTAGGCAGGAGCACGCTTCCAGGTTTGTGTGTTTTTCTCCAGCAGCTCCCAAGACCAGGGCTATGAGCTCCTGAAGAGACACTCAATTTCCTTCTTGTTCCATATTTCCAACATGGGACATTTAAATGTTATGTAAATATATTTAATACATCGATGAACATGCACATTTAAACATTTTACTGTTATATTTAATTTCTTTACTTCCTGTGCTGTTGAATTAAAACACACACACACACACACACACACACTCTCTCTCTCTCTCTCTCTCTCTCTCACACACACACACACACACACACACAGAAAGGTAAGGCTTCAGTACCTGAAGGAAAAAAAAGCAGCTGCTTTTAAACCACTGCAGGAGCTGAACCCATGGATATGTGGGTTGCCTCTGAGTTGTTCCAGTCAGAGTTTCTACAGCACCTCGGATTTGCCCACATTCCTCATGAACACACAAAGGTGATGCACTTATTCTCAGGGATACCTCTCTGTCTCTGCTTTGTTGCTCAGGCATACACCATCTGCACAGACTGAAAATGAAACCAACCTGGCTTGGGAGCTGTGAGAGAGAAAGCCAATCTCTCTTGCTGCCTCCTCCCCAGCCCACATGCCCAGCCAGGTTGGCAGACACCCAGATCAGAGTGAGATTAGCAGAGTGTGCCTTCCCTTTACAAGCTGTTTCATTTTTGCCTCTGTGCCCACTGTCCAATGATATCAGCAAAATGTCAAAAAACTCAATTTTAAGCCAAAGACCAATGAAACAATTCAAGAACAACAAAGTGCTAAGTATTCAATATTGTTTTTACTGCGGCCCATCTCCAGGGGAGTGGGAGACAGGTACTACACTGCTGGCTTCAGCCAAGTCTTGGAATGCTTTCCACATTTCCACAGATGATCTGGACAGGTGACATTTGGAAAGAAAGGGGGGAAAATACAAGTCAGGTGGGATTAGTGTGAGCACACACCCACTTAAGATTGCTTCACCTTGTTAAACACACAAATCAAATGCTATAAGTGCTTTATTTCTTTAATACAATGTATAAAAATAATGCACACCAGCTGCACGTAGCATGCAGAAAAATCCAGACTTAGAAGCCGCCCGAATGACTGTCTGTTCTGGTGCATTATCGCACCACCAGTCATAACAGCAGTGGACTCTGGACCAATGAAAAGGGCAGAGTACAAGGAAGCCTCCCTCTTCCTCTGGTACCAAGGGCCCACAGACTCCATGCCCTGTGTGCAAAATTCTCACTCACCAGCTGTGGTCTTCAGGCACATACATTCCTTTCAGTCTGGGGCAATGCTGATCTGAAGCCACAAACAAGAAAGACTGCTGTCTAGCTATTTTTCTTGCTTTATGATCATTTGTATTCTTTCCAATATATTTAATCATTTTGTTATATGCTACTCTTCCAAGAACAAATGAAAGCATTTTGCAGCAGTTAATGATTACTCACTCTTGTGGAAAGCAAACTTTGCATGGAGATGGAGTTACACTTGTTTTTTTTCTTTAAGTCACTCAGAAAACTGAGGTGATTCAGGGTTGGGAAAAGACATCTCATGCCTGACCACATACTAGAGACACAGGGTTAGGCCTGACTCTGAAGGCAAAGAGGTTACTTGCTGCTTCTTGTTAGACCCTACTCTGGTCACTTGTCCTCATGTCCCATCTCTGACATCTGCTTCCAGAATTCATTCCAAATAAAAGCGACTCCTTCCCCAGGCCACCACTGCAGGCAAATGATTCCAAAAATTCTGGTAATGCCAACTGAAACCAGTTTGCTAATTATATTTTCCAACTATTACATGAGTGATGATTCTGACCCAGGCTGCAGTCCACCCTGTTCTACAGATGAACAGGAAGGAAGGATTTCACTTACACATTCACAGGTAAGATTAGTGGGACATCTGAAAAGAAGGAATTGGGTTATGAGCCTTGGGAAACTGCACTCATTGTTGATACATTTTTACACTGAGTGTGGTACAGTGAACAGCAAAACAGCAGAATTTGCAGAGCAATTTTAGGGGCGACTTCCCCAGTCAGGTCACCTATTGGTTAAACCTCTGATAGCCACACAGCCCTGGCCCCTCCTCTGGATTCAGTGGAAAACAAGTCACTGTCACACAGAGCACTTGGTAGGGAGGCGAGCACCCCACTCTCATTCAGACAAAGGATGAAAGTTCAAGTAAACATTGTACCAAAGACAATGACAAAGGAGAAAAAGATTTAAAACTGAAGTGATAAGCCAAGGTCGTGTGATGCAAAGGAAAACTGAGGAGCAGTCATTGTAAAAATACATATTTACATATCTCAAAGATCTATTCTCACTCTAAAAGTTACACAGGGTATACTTTTAAACAAACACATGAATATATTAAATGGAGTAGTTTATAAAAGATGGTACCATTGAGAAATTCCTGTCTTCCCTTATTCTTCTCAAATAACTGTATGCTAGAAGAGATTATTTTGATTAAACAGAGTAAGCTTTCAAAGAGTTGGCATCATGACACATTTTTTAGGTTATCCTGGATGTACATTCTCTCCAAAGGTTCCGAATCTGAAATCCCTCCTGCCCAGAAGGCATGAGCAAGTTCAGAGTTGGGGTCCCAACAGTTGCCAGCTAGGACTGGATTCCAGTCTTCCAGCTCTGGGCACCATCCATGGCTGCAAAACACACCCTTGACAGGAAAGAGCAAATGGTGCCAGTTCCAGATGAGTTGCTGGGGTGTGGGTGGGGCTGACTCTGGGCCAGGGAAGTGCTCCTGCCTCGGGCACTGCCCCTTGTGAACCAGGTTTCTGTCCTCTTTGGAAGCTGTGAAAAAACACTGCAGAGCCCATTGTGAGAAGGCTGCAAAGGACCTGACCAAAGGACCTCAAGGTTCTTCTTCACCTCTCAAGAAACTGCCCTAGTCCAGTGAAAGGCTCCTTTTGGCAGGAGATCAGCTCTCACTCATGTTTTCATGAGTCTTTCCACACAGCTACAGCCCACAGGGACGGCACTTGATTTTAAATGTGTTTCCTGGCTCATTAAATAAGATAATGGGTTGCACTGTTTGGGAAAGAACTGTGGTTCACAGAGCAGAGATGCCCTGGAAATTGTTTTCTCTCTCTGTCTGTGTGTGTGTGTACACTTCATTAGCTGCAGTCTGTAACTAGAATGCCTTCTTGTGATTACAGAACCTTGAGCTATATGGTGCAGATCACCTGGCACCCAGGCTTGATTTTCATGCTTTCCCCTTTCTAAAAATCAATTCAGGGATTGACAAAATGCATCACAGTATCTTGTGGTCAGCAAGTCAGTCAAAAAGATGCCCCAGAAAATATTTCTCAGCAACTCTCCCTTCTCCAGCTGCCCTGAGTGAACAGGACATTGGCTCCAAGAACATCTCTTCATTTGTGCAGTTACCAGTTCTAACTCAGCCAGTTCACAAGATCTGCCTTCCCTCCTTGTCCTCAGCATTTCAGACCTTCTCTGGTCATGGGAGCTTTGGCAGTAGGATGCTTCATTCCTGGAAAAGCAGCTGAGATTCACAGCACAAACAGCCCTGGGGTCCCCTGTCCCCCATGGCATCGGGGTCCCTGATTGTTGGGGCACTTGCTTTCTGAGGAGCAAAGAGACAATGTGATTGAGAGCCTGTCTGCTATAAAACATTACCCTGCAAAGCCCACGCTCAGGTGCTGGCCAGAAGACAGGGAAGGGAGCAGCCCTGAGCCTTGAGGGTATCTACCCAGATTGTGTTCCTGGTGGAAACTGCAGAGCTTCCCAGAGGGGCAGAAGAAGAAAGGCACATCGAGGCTGGATGTCACCAGCCTAAGAGGTGGGGCACCCCATCCATGTGTCCTACATTGCATGGGTGTCCCTGTCCACATGTCCTGTGTCCTACACAGTTGAAGTGTGAGGTGCAGTCTATCCCACATGCTGTCTGGGACTTCTAAGTGAACCCCCATCTTGACCACAGAGAGATAGAGGTGGCAGACAAGATCTGAATTTTTTGCTCTGAAATTAAACAATTTGTATTCCTATCTCAAAGGCGAAATCGCCAGGCTTTTACACCAGTATTATAACCAGCAATTTATATATTTTATGCAAAAGCCAGAAAGATCTATCGTTTGGCAAGTAATCCATCAGTTTGATGAATGAAAGAATAAGATGACTAAGAACCAGTGAAGGGAAGAGCAATGTTTCTGAGTTAAATGACGAGAAAGAGAATCCACAGCAGCCCTCTGCAGCCATGCCCTGCTCCTGGTCCCAGGAGATGCACGGTGATGCTATGACTCATCCTTTGGTTCTGACATTTCCACTCATGACAAACAGTTTTACCTCATAGGACAGCAAATGGAGAAACACGTGATTTAGTTCTAGATGGACTAATTTACAAATCTCTGTCTAGTGGACACAGCCTCCATGTAGAATATATTTGCATTTTTTTTTTTTTTTTTTTTGTAACAGGGATCAACCTTGCAATTTCGAGGCAGGCGCTGTACCACTGAGCTAAGTCCCTGGCCCTAAAACATAGCTGTATTATTTTACTTATAAAGCCTACCTTTAGTCATCTCAAATTTTCTGAATTGTTCATAAAATCCCAAAAAGAATCTTTAAGGATTGCAACACAAATGTCTTGGTAAACTACAAAAAGAGCAGAGCACGAGTTCTTGCTTCCCATGTTGTGAAGGCGCAGATCCGGTCTTGGGAAAGCTGAGCGGCACACGGCACATGTCACCCTCTGGCTGTGGCCTGGGCTCCAGCCCTGCTGGATCTTCTTAGAGGAAAGAAGTTTTTGGGAGCCATGAGTCCTGGGTGGACACCAAGCCCACAAGCTCTATAGCACCAGCACATCCACTCCTTCCTTGTAGTACTCTAGGGTTTTTGTGCTTTCAGAGTGCACCCAGCCTGTGGGTCTCCAGCAATAAGTCTGTGACAGAAAGGCTGTAACAGTGACAGGTGACTCCATATAGAAGCCAGGCAATCCCTGGGGGACTGCCCCCTGCTCTGAGCAACAGTGCCAGATGGGTTAGAAAGCAGGAGACGATCCTGGATGGATCCAACAGGAGGAAGGTTGGGAGGCAATGGGAGCCAGTGCCCTTGGGCCTGTTGTTTCACCCTTGGGACTTTCCAACACTCACCTGAACTTTCCCTCTTGCTTCAACACTCTTCTTTTTGTTTGAGGTAGAAGTTCTTGGCCTAACCAGACTTCTCATGTATTTCATATGTTCAAACTGAGAAGGACACTGTCACGGCCACTCTGCACACTAAATCCCAATCCCCTTCCAGGTTAGGATTTGACGCCGGAGCACTGGAGACAGGGTCTAGAGGGATGAGAGGCAGCCAGGTTTTATTTTATGTTGTCATTTTTACCTCAGTATGTGAGTATCCTGTCTCTACATCACCACTATTTACACTGACTCCACCTGTCACCTACTTGGACAGAGCTTGCTCACTTTTCAACAGCCCAATAAGCGATGTTTTTTTTGTTTTCTTTTACTAGATTCCAAGCTCCAAAGATAGATTTGCAGATTGTTGATTGAACACAAAGTCAATAAAATGCAGAGGCTGGACAACCTCTGGCTACCTCCCTGCACTGTATGGACAAGCAGGCCTGGCATCAGGCCCCGGCACCAGTGGGCACAGGAGAGTCCTGAGGACAGCATGGCTCTCTGTGCCAGACCTTCTCCCCTGAGACCATAGGGGTGTGGGGCACCCTCAGCGGCATCCTCTCATCTCAGGCCAAGAAGGCAATAACACATGCAAATTAATATTTTTGTGTTTCTTTAAAATTTGACTGGTTATCTACACTGTTTGGAGACTTAAACTAGTGTAAGATGCAAACATTTTAATAAATTATAAGGAAGAAGTTCAAGCATGAGCCTTCTGTTTCCAGGAAAATAAGAAGTCCCCCCCTTGCTATTTCACATCTGTACTGAGGCCACTCAGAGAAGTTCTTGGGGCTTCTTTCTGTCCTTGAACACAGATGGGCGGAGCACAAGCATGTCTGTGGCCCCTCTCCCAGCTCTAACCCTGATGATGCTGCCCTTTCGATTAGTACCTCGATGGCAGGCAAAATTGATTTAAAAATTTTATAGTTATTGAAATATTGAAATCCTTGGTTCTCCAAGACAGCCTTTAGATGCTGTCATCTCCTCTGTACTCCCATGAGGCCTCCCCCCAGACGGCAAGGAAGCAGCATGCCTCAGCTTCCCAGAGAAAGCCTCAGCCCACCTGGCAGAAGAGCTGGAGCTCAGTCCTGTTCCACTGCATGTCCCAGGTTAGCCAGAGATCCAGGGCAGCTCAGAACGAGAGTCGGGTCCAGTTCACCCAGTTCAAAAAAACCTAAGCCCTCAAACCCATTTAAATAAAATTTACCCAAATAAAGATCTTTTCTTGCTAAATGAATGCCACACTTTGAACAAGGGCCCATGGAGAATCTTGGAATTTTCAAGGCCTCGCAGAAAGTGCCTGCAGCCTGTCTTTGGGCCTCAGGTGAGGCCCCAGCAAGCTTGGTCCATTGCACACAGGCCATGGGCTCTGGGACCACTTTGTTGCAGGAAATGGTGATAGCAGGGGAGTGAAACCGCTCACTGACAGCAATCAATAATTCTGATTTCTCCTCTTTTCACAATAGTAAGCTGAGTGGGGCAGTATTAACTTATAGGGACAGCAGGTGCAGCCCACTGCAAAGAACCCTACCCCCAACTCTTTCTGCTCTGGCTACCTTGACTATCCAGAAACCACTGCATCTCCATCTCTGGGGTCCCTTCTAGTTGCAGGGGCTGAACCCCAAGCACAGCTGGAAAATGCACCCAGCTGGGTCGCCAATCTCTGGCCCAAGGGCCCGCGGCCCCAGCATTTCCAGGGCGAACCTTGATCCTCCTCCCCAGCGAGGACAGTCACACGGATCCCTGCAGCCCCTGGCCGGGTGTCTCCTTGGCCTTCCTGCAGGTGTACAGCCACTTGATGATGCGCGCGTTCCTTTCCACGATCGAGGTGGTGCTGGGAACCTGCTCCGTGAGCGCCTCCACCTGCAGCACGTCGTCTTCCCCGCTGCTGTTTCTGGAGAAGCCGCCGTCTGAGGTGGCCACGCTCACGCTGTGCACCTTGAGGGCCACACGGTCCGAGCTCGTGGAGAAGTTGTCCCTACCCAGGGCCTCCACCACCTCCGGGTCCAGGCCGCAGAACTGGAAGAAGGCGTCGCGGTCGGCCCCGGGTCGCAGCTTCTCAGGCTGAGGTCAGAGTTCGAGCCCTGCAGCCCTGGGCGCCGCGATGCCCGCGGGGCCGAGGTCCCGGCTCTGTTCCCTGGGGGCGCGAAGATTCCTTGTGCCCCGGGGCTGGGCTTGGTCAGCGCGGGGACCCCCAGTTGTGGCGTCGCGGGGCGCTCGGGAGTCCTGTCCTTGCCGGGCCCCGGGAAGAGCCTCTTCACCAGGCTGGCCCTGGGGCCCCCGGAGCCCTGGCAGCGCGCAAAG